CTGCTTTGAATGGTTTTACTTGCTTGTGACATGGGCACTACTTAATTTGGTTGTGACATGCCCCCTTGCCCATGGCACAGCAAGTTACGTCATGTTTACGTACAGACCATTTTCGTTATTATCTTTGTTAGTGTTTGGCAAGTGGGTGTATACAAAAGCAAAAAGCGTGGTTAACTTCATTTTGAGATACTGTAAAATCCAACAACTAAAACACGCAAATATAACAATGGCTATTATGATTAATGGTAAACACAAAATAATCAAAGACTCCGACACTTGAATGAACTTAAACGCAGTAAACTGTTATTCTTGATTTTATGTAATCTTCTCTAATTCGATTTTTTAAGGTAACTGAGAGTGAGGTATCAGATTAATGCCCCCTATATGGAGGGTTTTTAAAATTGTGGTTTATTATACTTGAGTTAAATTGTAGCTCTGAAAACACCGATTTTTCATACCGTCATTAGCGGCCTTTCTTCATTTCTTTGCGAAACACATCAACCTTGTCATGCATCACCATCTGCTTCTCCCCTCAATGATTTGACACCAAACACTTCCTGTCTTTCATCCACCTTCAACATCTCCTCTTTTTTCCTCTCATTTTTCTGTCTACCGCCGACCTTTCTGCGACATCCCCCAAACCTTCAGACTATCAATGCTGTTCTCTCTCAATAATTCAGAGCTTTTCACTCAAAACATTATGACTTGGCTTCACTGCGTAAAGTCTTGAACAGGCTTCAAAACAAAACAAAACAAGTATGTACAAGATCATTAACAGGAAAAGAAAAACCATAAAATGAGTCGTTAGCTATGTCTTTGGCCTAAAATGACAGAAGGTTCAGGACCGAGTTGGAGGTTTCGAAGTTAGCTCTGTTTGCCAAGGAACCTGTTGGTAATAGCAGGAATAAAGCGATGACCCTGCTTGCGACATATGAGAAGGCGGCCATTGTGGCGTCGACCCGGGTGTGCTGTAGGTTGGTGCTCGGTGATTCTTGCGATTGGGCAGTCACAGATTGCCGCTTCGTCACCGCTGGGCCTGTAAGGGGACAAAATAAACGAACAGACAAACAAACAAAGAAAACTAAAAAACAATAAAATTGTCTTGTACATCTACAAGCATAATATTGTAGTGGTTGGAATAGTTTATAGATGCCCCTTTCGAGTAGTTGTTTGTTGGGGCAGGCTGCGGTGTTATCCAGAATGCGCTGCTAGGTATGGGTGCCTCCGGGGCCCAGACCAGTTGGCGGGATCAGTTGAGGTTGGTAGCCTAGTATATGTGCCAGTTGTCATTGTCCCGTATCTTCTAGGACACAGGACCGAGTTGGAGGTTTCGAAGTTAGCTCTGTTTGCCAAGGAACCTGTTGGTAATAGCAGGAATAAAGCGATGACCCTGCTTGCGACATATGAGAAGGCGGCCATTGTGGCGTCGACCCGGGTGTGCTGTAGGTTGGTGCTCGGTGATTCTTGCGATTGGGCAGTCACAGATTGCCGCTTCGTCACCGCTGGGCCTGTAAGGGGAC